CAAGGAATAAATTAAAAGAATAAAATGTAACAATTTGTTTTATTTTATTGCACTGTAACAATTTGTTTTATTTTATTGCACTGTGCATCGCCATTGACTTACTGTCATAATATTTACGTTTAACAATTGTTTTGTTATTCGTTATCCTCATTCTGTAAATTGCATATCTATTTGCTATCTTTAAATGTAAATTATGACACAACAAAATATGACTGTTACTCAAAATATCTAAAAATGTAGCAACTAAAAAGTTTTTGTAACCACGATTGTTATTGCACGATTTCTGATACCGCCTAAACATATACTCCATTTTTTTAAATAACTGAAATGTTTGATTGTTTACATAAAACAATGTGTTGTTTTTATAACTTCGCAATCGTACTAATCGCGCATATTGGGACAAATTTCGATGAGTAGAACCTAAACTTCCAATACAATGCTTACAAAGTTTTGTATTTTTTTAAATGCTTGTTACAATGTATCCAGCGATACTATATAAAATATTACATTCTACAGTATTCAATTCTTTTACTTCCTGAGTTGTTGGTTCGTACGATAGATTGGCATTTGATTCATTACGAGACTCACATTTGTGTTCAGCAATTACATCAAGAAAACCTGTTACATATCGTGCATCATCTTCATCGTAATTAGCTCGAGAAATTGAACGCATATATAAAGAAGTGGCAATTAATTTAAGATTATTTTTAAATTGTAAAGCATTTAATGTAACATTTTTACTTCGAAGAACAGAAAAAAGATTCTCTACGCAGTCTTGCGTAAGTCTACCTGTCAGTAAGAATTGAAATTTTCTCTCACGAAAGAGATAATCTGCCAATTCTAAAACAGATTTAGTTGAAATAATAACTCCCTTCTGAACAGGTTTAAAATCTCCTTTGTTACCAATATGAAGATTACTAAATATCTCTATAATTTCATTTAAAAATGAAACAGTATCTTTATATTTCTCCAAGTCTTTTGTACCCAAAGAAATGCAGCAGTGCCTTGAAGTCATAATCGTATACCATTTTACTATCATTTTAACAAAAAATGCTGTAGCAATGTATTCTGGTTTTGAATTTTCATCGGCTAAAAACTCCAAAGCAGTGCTCATTTCATGACTCAATAAATTTTTCGCTTTATTGACGCGCATTTTATCGAAATTATTCTTCGTATCGACATCATTCATACTTAATTTTGGCGTTAATAAAAATTGAAGTTCTTTTTGTGCTAAAATTATTTCTTCGAAGTGTTTTGCTTGTACCCTATCTGTTGGCAAATTATATTTACGTACAATATTTTTAGGTAGTAAGAGAAACTTATTATTTAAAATACACGCTTTTAAATTTTTTAATAAGTGGGGCACATCCGCGATAACATACAAATTACGATTAGAGTCAACTGGATGTGTTACATAATTTATACATTTGGTGTACTTTCCAGCCGTAATCCCAAACGCTTTCCATAAACCCTGATTGCAAGATCCCATGTCGGAGGTAATGGAATTTACGGTAAGACCTATTGAGTTGGCTCTGTGAAGTATATCAACTATTATTGGTTGCAATGTAGCACCATTAAACCCATTACTTGTAAAATAATAACCAATAATTTGTTTCCAACGACATGCAATACCGCATAACATAAATACCATAGCGTGTGACGCTATACCTGTATGTTCTGGTAAAGTTACATCACCAATGTAACTTTGAGAAGAATTATCAAAAAATTTTCCTGATGAAATGCTGATTTCATCATATACTAAACAACATTCTTTATCAATTTCGTTCCAATTCGACACCTTCAATTTTAAAAAATTGAAAATATCGTCCGAAATTCCGCTTTCAAATTTAAAGTTTTCTATTTTTCTTCGTAACGTTCTAAGTCCTGGCAAAGGAAATTTCTGGCGACGAAGTTCTTCGTAACCGGTGATGCCACAAGAAAACCTTAATTGAAGTGCTTTCATGATCGATTTGTTGCTCCATTTCTTTGCTCTTTTATTGTTCTTTAAAACTGCAATTTGATCGTCAGTGAAGATTTCTTGTAGCTTACTTAACAGAGCTGTATAATTAGATTGCTCTTTATGTTTCTTTTTCAATTTTAAGTCATGTCGTACAGTAAGCAAGCATTTTTTAAATTTTCTTAGTCTAACATTCTGCTTTTTAATTATACGTGATTGTTCACATATAATTTGATTCTGTTTTTTTATTGTACGCGACATGTTTTTAACTTCACTATTTTCTTTTTTACTTTTGGCACTTTCTAATTGCAGTTTATTCTCGCAATCGTTATTTTCTTCTTCATTTTGTACTGATACAATACTTTGTACTGGTACAATACTTTGTACTGGTACATTATGTTCGTTAACACAGCCTACCTCATCATTCAGTGAAGTATGTCTCATGTTTTCACGGTGACTTTTCTGAAATCAAATATTTAAGATTTACCATTACTAATTTACAATTTTTAAATAAATATATAATGCTTTTCCATAAAATTGCATCTGCCTCTTATATGCTTTTGATTTTTAGAACTTACGATCTTCTTGGCTTTACTTCCGAATATCGTTGGCACAGCATTTATCTTAAGCTTTCTTTTTCCGTCAACTCGGTTATTTTTCCACATATCGTGTGCGAAATGTACCTGAAATAATAAATAGTAAAATCTTAAATATTTCATTTTAGAGTCACGATAAAAACATTAAACATGCTTCATGAGGTATAAATAATTGTATAAATAAATCAATTGTATAAATAATCCTGAACATACTTCACAAAGAAATGATC